CGTGCATCTTGCTTTTATTTCTGCTACAGGGCAGAAACGAAGAAACGTTCATTCTGGCTAACATGAAGTCATTACACACGAGGCAGGAGAGCAGCGAGCATAAAGAGCAAGCAGCCTGTGTTAGTGGGAAGATGGGAAGTTGTGTGCTTTGTGTTGGCGGGCTGGAATGAGCTGGATTCGCCTGTGCATCCCTCGCTGTCGTTTCTACACTGGCAGGAGTTCTGGACTGACACAGCTGATCCGGGCAGGGTTTGTGCTCCCAAGTTGTATCAGTATGTTCAGCTCTAAGTGGCATGTGTGGAACAGAGGGGTGTAAGCAATAGACAACATTGAACATGCTTCAGATTCAGGTAGGGGAGAAAGAACTGGAAATAAAAAGTGAAGGCAGACCATCCAACCTGGACTTCTCTTCAGTGAAGAAATCCCCCTCATTGTGTCCCAGAATAAAGCCCAGTCAACAGTATAGCCCAGAGGGACTCTAATGCCTGTCTGTGGATTGGCAGCATCAGAATCCCCTGGGGAGCTTTAGACATACGCCTCCCAGAGGTTCAGATGCAGTATGTCTGAAACAGGACTTGGGAATCTGTATGTCAAAAAAAATCTCCCCAGGTGTTCCTGTTTGGGAACCTCTGATTTGAGCTCTATGTAAACACCAACAGTAACAGTGAATTTATTACTATTCTGTTCTTGGTTAGCTGATGTTATAAGTTGCTACCTTGTTTCAAACTGATCTCTGCATTTTAAAAACATTCACCCATATTTTGGTTTTCTCTGGGCCTTTTGGAGTAATTTAAAGGTCTTAGTTCAAGCTGGAGAATTTGAATTTGAAATGGACCTAATCATCATAGTTTTGTGATCATATCCAGCAGCAAGGTAGTCTGGGAGCAGAGAACATGAATGATGAAGCAACTCAGATTTGGGGACTGGGATGATGAATGATCAATGAACTGAAGGATTTTAAGATGCTGGGGGGGTGGTGGTAACATTGAAATCACCATCCATTACCAGAGAGACAACTGAATTCTTCAGAGCAGGTGTGGACTGGTGTATGGGGAGCTGCTAACTGAATAAGAGGTAAAGGGTGGGGTAAGCTGAGAGAGGATGCTCAGAATGGGCAATGCCTGTCTTTAGCTAGTCTCCCACTGATTTCCCAGGCACAAGTGCAGTAGGTTCTTAATAGTTTTTTTTTTTTTTTTTTAAAGACTGACTTCTTATGGTAAAGGGCAGATTGAGAAGATATATGGGGATAGAGATAGGAGACGAAAGTGAGGAGATTGTGTCAGAAAAGTAGAACCGAATGGACATCTTAGAGGTGATGAGAAAATCCAACTTGTGGCTAATGTATGATGGAGTTGAAAGTGAGAGCTGTTGAGAAATTTAGTGGTCATCAACATGGATGATTCTGTTATTGAGAAGGATGGACAAAGACTGGGGAAAGAAACTGTGGCTCAGATGCGGAAGTGTTTGAGCGATGTGTTTGGAGGTGGCATGGATGTGAGATAGAGATGAAAAAGAGGATTCAGAGAGCATGGAGTGCAAGGTCCTGGCTCCATCTTGTAGGTGAATGTGGGCAAGTCCCACATCCACTCTGGACCTCCATATTCTTTTGACTTATTAACATCCTTTCCATCTCCCTTAGAGAGCTGTTGAAAGCTCATATAAGATACAGTGATCATGTATGTAAAAGCCACTTTGAAAAGATAGATAATAATCTCTAAGGGCCGTCCTAGTTTTGAGATCATGCAACTCAACTCTTCTAGTTATGAGGTGTCATAAAATGTATTACGGTAAAGCGACAATTTTACTTGAAAGAAAAATGTCTAAAATCAGTACACTAGCACAAGCAGCCAAACTACCATTAAGCTAAGTGACTTTTATTTCTGGAATTAATAGGTCAAGTTTTGGGAAAATGACTCTAATGGTTCTTTTTCTTTCGTATAACACATGTTGGTACCTTTTGAAATATCTAGAAACCCACATGTTGAACATGGATTTGGGGGCTGTTGCTGAAGTTATGTACCTTCCATAACTCGATATCCTATAATGTCAATTACCCAGGCAAAAATATGGTGCCACTAAATGGTCATTTGAGTTTGGTATTTTATTATCAAGTTTGTTAGAATTAGTTATAATTCTGTAATTCTTGTAAGTCCCAGAACTGGATATTTTTCTCTAATGAAAAAAAATATTCCTTGAATTATGGCTTCTTTTCTGACTTTGGAATATTTAAAACTCAGCATCCAATCTTGAGGAAGATACAGTTACAAGGATTAGTCTAAACATTGCTCACATTGGCTTTACTTTCTATGTTGTTGATTCTGCTGTGGGGTACAATCTCAAATCTCACATATACCCAGAGTTGGGTTCAGATATATGGTTTCTATGAAATGGTCTCTTGTCCCTAATTTCTCATATTATATGCAAGCTAGTCCTTTAGGAGGTTCAAAAGCTTAAAACATATGCTAGTACTTTTGGTAAAGGAAGGAGATATTCCCAGATTCACAGTGGTCTTCCTTGAAGCACATTGAAATAAACTGAAAGTCCATTACTAGAAGACCAATCCTTGGCAGAGGTAACACTTATAGGCTAACAACATCATAAACCTACTAGTTTCTTTAATTAACCCCCCCCTCCCCCCCGAATGGTGTTAGTTCTAAGAAACTGGAGGCCAGCGATGAAGAGAGGAAAAATGTTCTCTGAGAAAGATGAAGTCAAATTCCAATGTTTGGAAGGACTTTTACCAATTTACAACTAATGCACATCTGTTGATACTTACCATGTGCATCTAACTTTCAACAAAATAATATACAGAGCAGTTGGCTGCAAGTTATTCCAAACCCTCTTGCTAAAGAAATAACAAATATGGAAAACCCAGGGGATCCTGTACCTAACAGAAGAACCTATTTGGAAGCCAGATATCCCAGAACAGATCTGGAGGAAAAGGTTGTGAAGTTGTTCTCTGTGCTTTGAATTATAGAGATGGAAAGTGAAAGGATATTAATGGTAGCTTGCAGAAAAGGAGGTTAAACCATGGAAAGATAGTTTTGGAAGGCTAGAATGGGAATCTTTTGTGCTACTTTGGCATTTTTTCCTGGGCCTACATTACCATAATATGACTATGGCATTTCCTTGCTCTGTTTTGCTCAAAGTTTTACATGTTTCATATTATGAGTTGATTGTGTCTTTCAAAAATGATCTGTTGAAGTCCCAACCCCCTCAGAACATGAGCTTATTTGGAAATAGTGTCTTTACAGAGGTAATTGAGGTCATGAGGGTGGGCCCTAATCCAATATGATAAAAGTTCTCATATAAAAGAAATTTGGACACAGTTATAGGCATACACTAAGGGAAGATGATGTAAACACACACAGGGAGAAGACAGCTTGATGATGGAGGCAGGAACTGGAGTTACGGTCCTCAAACTCAGGAACGCCTATGGCCAACAGAAGCTGAGAGACAGCCCCAGAACAGCTCTCAGAAGGAACCAATTCTGCTGACACTTCTATTTTGGATTTTAGCTTCCAGAACTCCGAGACAATAAACATCATTAAAGCCACCCAGTTTATGGTACTTTGTTATGGCGGCAGGACTAGGAAATTAATATCAAGCCTGGGAACTTTTGGTGTTTCCTCCAATTCTTTGCTGCCTATTGAGAAGTAAATTTTCAGATCCTCTACTAGTAAAATGCCCTTAATTTTATCCTGCACCCAGTTTCCTCTCCACAGCTGCAGGTGAATGGCAGATAAATATAGTCCCTGTTGGGAGGATTCTCCCTTGTTCAGGAGGGTGAACTGCATAAGTGACATGAATTGCATGTGAATTATGATGCAGATTACTTCATGTCAGGACCAATAAAACCTTAGACCTTAAGCATCTCCCAGATGAAGGAATATTGACTGTTCTTAACTATGGGGAGGGTGTTATGATAATAACCAATTCAAAGTGGAATATTGCTTTTCTCCAAAGAAGATTCAAACAGGGAGTCGATAACATGAAACTTCACATCAGCCAGTCCAAGATGAAATACTTGCTTGGGTATCGACTAATCAAGAATGTCTTGTCCCTTGTGTTCTTGTGTTGGGAAACAACTTAGTCCAGTATCTTTAAGATTTATTCACCTTGTATTTGCACTGATCACATTCATTGAACTGTGGACTGGAGCCAAGAACTATATTTCGAAGCTGAGCTGGTGATAGGCAGACTGTGTCTCGGTCCTTGGAGTGAATCCAGCCATCTTAAATATTGAAGTGTTTCTTTATGATGCTCTAGAGACATTTTCATTATGCTATATTTTTTGTGATCTGCTGAGCCCCACTATTGCATCTGCATGTTTTTCTAAGACAGGTAGAGTCTCTTAGTACAATTATTTGAATAGCTGGTGTAAATGAATGACAGAAAATACCCATGTGAACATTTAAGAAATATAAATAAAATATACCTGGTGAAAAGATAAATATTTTGATTTAATGCATATGTATGTATGTCCATGTCCATATCCATATCCATATCCATAATCATATTTTTATTTAAGTCCAGTTTATATTATATAGAGAAAGGGTTGGAGCTTTAAAATTCATTTGCATGTTCATGAGTACTTTACTTTGTCATCTTTGTCCTCAATCCATTAGATATTGTTAACTACCATTGTTACCTCTAGCAGTGCTGCTACCACTACTATAGTTACCATTTAGTGGGTATTTACTAAGTACTGGGCAGTGAGATCATTGTTTTGTCTACAAAGTCCCTTTTAAGCCCCTCAACAACTTTATGAAGTATATATTTCTTTGTGTCAATTTTCCAGACTAGGAAACTAAGGCTTAGCGATATTAAGTAGCTTGGCCAAGATCACATAGTAAGTGGTGGAGCAAGGACTATGAGATCCAGATCTTTCTGACCCCAATGCTTTCATTTTTATCCACTCCGCAATTCAGTCTCAAGTGTATTGTTAGGAACACAAGACATTGCATTAAAGTAGGTAAAGACCCACTCTGAGAGCTCACTTTTTTGCCGAGATCAGTGCAGAGCAGACATACGCCCAAGGATGTAGCAGGAGTGCCTCATGGACAGAACAATGCAAAAGCAGCTCCAGTGAAGAAAGAAGCCATTCCTGGCGTGAAACAACCGGGACCGGCACCTTTAAATAAAAGTAATGAAGACTCAGTCCCTTAGTCCCACAGTTGCCTTTATTTTTCTTCCAAAAGATAGAAGGGTTCTGTTTGTCTACATGTTTGTAAATTGTGCAAGCCTCACAAGGGTTATGGACATATTTCTATAGTTTGGCCCAGTTCCTATCTCTTCATAGAAGTGGGGTGGTAGGTGAGAACAGTCATTTATGAAGCAAGATTTGAGGGGTGTCTAAAGACTCCTTATCTCCAAATAGCTCTACTTCTGATGATCCCTTAAATCCATTAGAAATGTTTTTGGTAGAAATTTGGTTTTTAGACTCTATTAAAATGCAAAATTTCTCTATACCAGAAGGAGGCAATATGGTGTAGTTGAAATGGGAATAAGCTTTAAGCCATACAGACCTGAATTTAAATATCAAATCTTCCACTTTGTGGCCTTGGGCAAGTTATTTACCCTCTCTGAACTTCAGTTGTTTCACTGATAAAATGTCCTGGATGGTTTTTAAAGTTATACAGATAATGGCTTGGCCAGCATGGCTCAGCGGTTGAGCATCAACCTATGAACCAGGAGTTCACGGTTTGATTCCTAGTTGGGACTCATGCTCAGGTTGCAGGCTGGATCCCCAGCAGGGAGCATGCAGGAGGCAGCCAATTAATGATTCTCTCTCATCATTGATGTTTCTATCTCCCTCTCCCTTCCTCTCTGAAATAAAAAATATTTATATTTAAAAGTTATACAAAAAATGTATGATAGACAATGACTGGTGTTCTTATTCATGAGCCATCACATGAGCTAACTGAAATTACCATACGGTAGATGCTTTAGGGAGGAAGAGCCAACCAGAGTAAAGAGGGGGGAAAAAGGGAAGGTGCACAGACCTTCAAAATGTTACCTGAGCTGCAGTTTGTCTAGAGCAGGGGATCCATGAAATTGGATGGGAAAAATACTTGTCTTTATTTTCACTCTAAGTGAAATGTAACATTTCCTTTTATTATGTACATGAGCAACAAATTCAGTAATAGCAGTATCTGTGAATTTGTCACCAAATCATAGATATTTTAATGATATATTATAGTGGTTACTGATATTTTAAAATATCATTTATACTAATCACTACTGTAAAATTGTGATAGATCTCAAGTCCTGCTGTCAATGCTTACTATTTAATATGTTAATAAAAGTACATAAAATGTTATGCCACAAAATTGTTTTAAAATATTTTATAGCAGTATTTTAAGATAATTATCTCCTTTCCCCACCTTACTCATTTCTTTATGTATTCTGAGAAGGGGTTCATATAAATCCCACTTCCAAAATAATTGAAATCAGGTTCCAGGAGTGATACCTGCATCCCCATATTCGTTGCAGTACTATATAAAATAGTCAAGATATGGAAGCAACCTAAATGTCCATCAATGGATGAATGGATAAAGAAAATGTGACAGACAAACATACACAATGGAATATTATTCAGCCTTAAAAAAGGGAATTCTGACCTTTGTGACAAAATGGGTAGATCTGCAGAGCATTATGCTAAGTGAAATAAGCCAGACACAGAAGAACAAATACTACATGACCTCACTTATATGAGGCAGCTAAAATAGTCAGACACATAGAAGCAGATAGTAGAATGGTGGTTTCCAGGGGCTGGGAGGAGAGGTTATTTGGTCAAAGGGTACAAAGTTTCATTTATGCAAGATCAAAAAGTTCTTCTTTTTTTTTTTATTGCTTAAAGTATTACAAAGGGTATTACATATGTGTCCATTTTATCCCCCCGCCCTAGACAGTCCCCTAGCCTCCCCTATCCCCCAATGTCTTATGTCCACTGGTTATGCTTATATGCATGCATACAAGTCCTTTAGTTGATCTCTTACCCCCCTACCTCCTGACCCCCAACCCTCCCCGGCCTTCCCGCTGCAGTTTGACAATCTGTTTGAGGCAGCTCTCCATTATAAACTTTTGAACAATAATAGATACAGAGGCAGAGCTGCCTCAAACAGATTGTCAAACTGCAGCGGGAAGGCCGGGGAGGGTTGCGGAGCAGGAGGTAGGGGGGTAAGAGATCAACTAAAGGACTTGTATGCATGCATAGAAGCATAACCAGTGGACATAAGACATTGGGGGATAGGGGAGGCTAGGGGACTGTCTAGGGCGGGGGGATAAAATGGACACATATGTAATACCCTTTGTAATACTTTAAGCAATAAAAAAAAAAAAAAAAAGAAAGAATATTTTCTTCAGCAGTTTGAGAATGTGCACCTAAGCTCAACAACCATCTTGAAATATTACTAACTATACAACAACAACAACAACAACAACAACAAAAAAGTTTATAATGGTCTCTATTATCCATGAATGAGTGAGATCATGTGGTATCTTTCCTTCATTGACTGGCTTATTTCAAAAAAGTTCTTCTTTTTTTAAAAAAATATATTTTATTGATTTTTTACAGAGAGGAAGGGAGAAGGATAGAGAGTTAGAAACATCAGTGAGAGAAAAACTTCGACCAGCTGCCTCCTGCACATCCCCTATTGGTACATGCCCTTGACCGGAATTGAACCTGGACCTTTCAGTCCACAGGCCGACGCTCTATCCACTGAGCCAAACCGGTCAGGGCTCAAAAAGTTCTTGAGATCTGTGCAGCATAGTGTCTATGGTGAATGATTCTGTTTATACTTAACGATTTGCTAAGAGGGTAGATCTTACATTAAAGTTATTATCACACTCACAGGAAGAGGGCAAGGGGAAACTTGGTGATGGATATGTTTATGGCATTGATTATGGTGATGGTTTCACTTATCTCAAAACGAATCAAGTCACACACATTAAATATGCACAGTTGTTTGCAGGTCTCCATAACTCCATGAAGAGGTTTAAAAAAAGACAAAAGAAATCTTGCCATATACAACAATATGGATGAGCCTGGAGGACAAAATTCTAAGCAAAATAAAAGTCATAATACAAATACTGCATGATTCCACTTATAGGAGATATCTAAAATAGTCACTCATGGAAGAGAAAATGGTGGTTACAACTATAAGTTGTTCAATGGACATAAAGTCTCAGTTAAGTTCTAGAGATCTGCTGTGTAGCACAGTAGCTAGAGCTAACGGTGCTGTATGGTATACTTAAAAACTTGATCTGTACATGAGTTACTAAGTGTTCTTACCATAATTAAAACAAAGTGGTACAGCCACTCTGGGGAAAAAATCAGAGTCCACAGAGGGCCAAAGGAGGCTATGGCATGAAAAAATTTAAAAGTTTCATCTAGAACAAGATCCAGCGAGGCAGTAATGCTAATCAGAGTCACTGAGGAGTTTATCTCCTTCTCTGAGGATTGTTGGTAATGCTAAAAACTTACCACTGTGTCCTAGAAATCAAGCAAAGGGAATGGGTGATCTCTCTCTCTCTCTCTCTCTCTCTCTCTCTCTCTCTCTCTCTCTCATCTCTATCTCTATATTTATCTTTATATCTGTATCTATATCTACATATTTTTTCCCTAGCCATTTTCATAGCCAGGAGTGGTCATCATGGACAAAAAAGGAATTATATCAATGGAATGCATTCCAAAGAGAAAGTTAAATAAAAAGGTTGCTGCTGTGTTTGACCTTGACCATCATATTTATTTCTTATGGGTAGAAGGAAATATTAAATTAGTCCAGTGGGGGAACTGGAGCAAAACCAGTTTATTATTTTTTTCTGAAACAGAGCTATTCAGTCTGTTCATTCCAGCCCCCTCATCTGTAGGATCATCAAGATATTTGGGATGTCCTCTGGGGTCTTTATTATCTGGCCTCCACTGATTCTCCCTCCACTTTTCTGTCTTTTAGGTGTGTTTTATTTGGGGGGAGAAAAGGAATACTAAACACTAGGAACAGAGGCTCCTCTCAAGTACAATGATTGAGAAAACAGTAGGACAAGAGAGTGGGGGATAGAGCTGGGGGCAGAGAGGGAGAAAGAAAAGAGAGCATGACAGTTCATATGTAGTTTATCTGGAAAGAATGAGCTAGACTAGTGGCTTATTTTTTTCGCTCATGTACTCCATAAGAGATTTTTTTTTTTTTAGCCCTTTGACTATGCCACTTTTATTTTTTTAAGATGAAATTTTGTTGTACACGATATTTACTATAAAAATCTATTATTTTATAAGTTCAAATAATCAAGCTGTTATAGGTAATCATAATATTTATTCATCTGTTGAGTGAATAATAGTAATAACCTCACTGATAGTATTTTTTTTATTAAATATATTGGGGTAACATTGGTTAGTAGGATCATATAAGCTTCAAGTATACATCTCTATGATACAAGATATGTATAGTGCACTGCGAACCAACGACCCAAAATGAAACCATCTCCCATCACCATTTATTTAGCTCCCTTTACCTATCCCAACCTCCACTACTATCCTCTGGTAACCATCATACTGTTGTCTGTGTGTGAGTTTCAGTTTTATATTCCACATATGAGTGAAATCACATGGTTCTTAGGTTTTTCTGACCGACTTATTTTGCTTAACATAATATTCTCAAGGTTCATCCATGTTGTTGCAAATGGCAGTATTTCATCTTTTCTTATAGCTGGGTAGTATTCCATAGTATACATGTACCACACATTCTGTATCCAATGCTCTATTGAAAGACATGTTGGTTGTCTCCATATCTTGGCCATCATGAATGCTGCTTACGAACATAGGGGTGCATATATCTTTGTGAATAATGTTTACAAGTTTTTCAAGCAGATGCCAGGAGAGGGGTTGCTGGATCATATGAAACTCATCTTAATTTTTTGAGGCACCGCCAGACAGTTTTCCATAGTGGCTGTGCCAGTTTACATTCCCACCAGCAGGGAATGAGGGTTCTCTTTTCTCCACAACCCATAAGAAAATGTTGAAAGACTCTCTTTGAATTGACATCTGAAATTTTATCTTAAATTTAAATAGTAACAAAGAATGTTAGATGTGCTGAATATCATATCCATGGTTAAAATCTATTTTCAGCGAAACTTTGGCCTTGCAGATTTAGCTCATTAAATTTATGGAGAGTGTCCATCACATGAATGAATTGGCAAAGCTAGTCCTTATTGTGAAATCGTTCTGCCAAATTGGACCTACTTTCAGTCTGGAAAAAACCCTTATTTTGTTTTTTAATTCAAGTAAGTGTGCTAGTATGCAACCTTTTGGAAACTTTTTGCTTCTGAATTGACTCCAGGAATTGGAGGAAAGAAAGAAGGGAAGGAAGAAGAAGGAAAGAGGCTTCCCATGAATCCCCCCCCCCCCCCCCGCTCCCCCCACCCCCCTCCCCAGCCTCCTTTAGTATTTCTTTCTGAAGCTCTCTGCTTTTCTAGTAAAGGACAACCCTTAGGAAGAGCCATAGAGGTTTCACATCCCAAGACAATGCAATATACTGGGCCAAGGGTATGCTTTTCTTTTGCAAAATGGGAAAAAGACTGTTGGGAAAGAGTCCTTGTGGCCCCTTAGGCAGATTAAGTTCAGGGAAGAGGACTTGGAGGAGTTGATTTGACTGTCAAAACCATCCCTACCCATGAACCCCTTGCAAAGTCTTCATGCGCTGGGGCAAACATACCTGTCTTCCACTATACAGCCGCCTGAGCTACTTCAGCGCCATCACAGTTATTCATTGCCGTTTCCCCGCCTCATCTTGATAGCGGAGGAGAGCAGCACAATCTCCTGAACTCTTTCCACCACTACATCTACCACTGCCCCGGCGTGGCCACAGGCCCTGGGAGTCAGCTGTGTGTGTGCTGGGAGGGGCGGTGGTTGGGGGGGGGGGGGCGCGGGTGGTGGTGGGGTGGTGGTGTTGAAGCACTGTCATCACCTGGAACTAACCAAGTTCAGTGGATGATGATAATTCTTTGTAAAGTCCTCGTGGTTAACCAACCTTTTTTGGTTTCACAATGCCCTGGCTTTTTTCCCTTTTCTTTTTGAAAAACACTGCCTTTGTTCTCACAGTCCTGCTGAGAAGGAGGGAAAACAACTTCTCATTTCCATGCAGTCCTTGCCATGGAGCAGCAGTGTGGAGCGAACGCCTCTTTTGAAACACAGGAGTTGTTTATGCTCAGAGGGAGAAAAGCTGAAAAAACAGATAGATCTCTTTCTCCAAGTCATGCTTCCACACCCCACTGGAGTGGGAAGGGGCTGTCCCATCAGTACGGTTGTTGGGCCAATTGCATTTTTCCCCACAGGCACTAATTTGCATGGAAATTGCTGCTCTGTGTTGGCAGGACTCTTCTAAATATTTCACCCAAAGAATTATACCCAACATGGGAGTTTGCCCTGTGGGCTGTATCTCTGTTGGACCAGGAAAGTGAAATTCCTTGATGAGAAAGGACCTGCCTGGAGTCTTGATTCAGGAATTACCAGCATAACACTCCAGCAGACTTTATCTGTCTCCCGAGTTGTCTGTGAAAATGTTGTAAATGCTGGGGTGGGATAGATTGTGGGGTGGAAGGTGGGTTAGGGTTTTAATCTTGTCTGAATGACTGCAGGAAATACAAAGTATTTCCCCCAAAATTTCTAATATTGGCAGGCAAAAATACTCACTGTGCTCCAGGTTGGAGGAGGAGCAATGAGGGAGCAGGGTAGATGAGAAATGCAGGCAAAATAGTGCAGCAACTGCCACACCTCTCATCTCAGTACCTCAGTGAGCCTCCTCCCTATTACATAGCACCACGTTTTCCCCTTCTCCATCATCAAACCTGGCTTTCAGGGGAATGCCTGACATGGGGCAGTTCCCCCTTAGGATGGATTGAAATTTGCTGAAGCTTTTCCAAGGGCACAGACTCCTCTTGCACCTTTGTGGTGGAATGAAAAACTTGGCCAGAGGTTTCAGCCATAGTAGACAGAGGGGGAAGTTTTTAGTTTCTATTGAATGTTTTGGTAAATCTTGGAATATAGGTAATTGTCTCCTGTTTCTTGACTCAAGATTGGCCCTGTTTTTGACATTTTAGTCCTGTGAAATGACCAGAAATTAGAAAGAATCCAGAAAATGAGGAATGAAAATACCTTAGTATTGGCAGAGAGTTGGGCCTCTGAGGTGCTGGATAAATATATACAAACTAAAGGCCTGGTACATAAAATTCATGCACGGGGGGTGGGGGTTGTCCCTCAGCCCGGCCTGCACCCTCTCCAATCTGGGACCCCTTGGGGGATGTTTGACTGTGGGATTGGGCCTAAACCGGCAGCCAGACATCCCTCTCACAATCCGGAACCACCAGCTCCTAACTGCTCGACTGCCTGATTGCCCCAACCGCTTCTGCCTGCCAGCCTGATCACCCCCTAACCAGTCCCCCGCAGGCCTGATTGATGCCTTACTACTCCCCTGCCAGCCTGATTGCCCCCAACTGCCCTCCCCTGCTGGTCTGATGGCCCCCAACTGCCCTCCCCTGCTGGCCTGATCACCCCAACTGCCCTGTAGGCCTGGTCACCCACAACTGCCCTCCCCTGCTGGCCTGCTCGCCCCTAACTGTCCTTCCCTATGGCCATCTTGTGACGACATTAGGGCATGATGCATGAGGGCATGATGACCACCTAGGCCAGTGGTTGGCAAACTGCGGCTCGGCAAACTGCACTCGTGAGTAACATGCGGCTCTTTGGCCCCTTGAGTGCGGCTCTTCCACAAAATACCGACTTCTGCACATGGGCCACGAAGTTTCAATCGCACTGTATGTGCACGCCCGCGTGTGGTATTTTGTGGTATTTTGTGGAAGAGCCACACTCAAGGGGCCAAAGAGCCACATGTGGCTAGCGAGCCGCAGTTTGCCAACCATGGACCTAGGCTATTATTAGTATAGATGATTCCCTCAGAGCTTCCAGTCATGGCCCCAGTTCCTTAGACAGAGTTAGCACCCTCAGGAGGTCCAAGGGGGCACCACTGTCAGCTAGCTCCCAAGAGAGGGGTCAGAAATGTTAGCTTGTGGAGAGAAGGCAAGTGACAGGTTGAGCAGGGGAAGCTGACAGGGTTCTTCATGTCAAGAACTTAAAGAGAAAAGACAGTGTATGTACGTATGAGACAATGTCAAATAGGAATAAAACAGATTCAATTCAAAGATGAGCCTCAGGTGCCTACAGGTGACTGAGAAATCTGCTAGGTGGCTTTTAATGCAAGGCTTAAAGGTTTTACTCATTTTCATAAATTGCTTTGTTGATTGGGGGTTTGGGTCTTTTTATGTAATTATAGGGCAGCATTTAGAGAAGGGAGTGAGTGTTTGGACTGAAGGGAATTAGGATGGTGTGAGTCAATACAAAAGAGAAGGCAGAAGGAATGCCAAGGGGAAGGGTGGAAGCTTAGTGAGCGCACAATGAAAAGGAATAATCAAATGAAAGGAAAGAGGACACGGAACTTAATTTGGGGGCATTAGGCAGAAATTACAAACTGGAAATCTGTGGGTGACATCTGTGTGTTTGTAGTCAAGGGCACACATAGTTTAAAATTATTTTAAAATTGTTGATAACATTTACAAACAGAAACTTTGCATAAAAACCCAGGTTTCTGAGTTCTCTGGGAAAATCAGAGGAGCTGGCAACACTGACCACAATCCTATGTGGCCATTACTGGGCAAACTGGGCAGTGGCCGCTTCCTTCTTTGCAGTTTGCACACGCACTCCTAACTGCTGCATTCCTGTCCCCATTCATTTACACCACCTGCTCTGCCTGTGTCACAGTGTGTAAGCGATGGACTCAGTCCTTCTTGGCCTGGGGAAGGGATGCTGGCCCAGGGACTGGCTTCCCGGGGAGTGGCTGGTCCCTCGGATGTCCCCATGGACTCCTCTGATCATATCATCAATGTAAAGGACATGGGCCTTGGCTCTCCCTCTTGCTCTCTCACCACCTGTAAGGCCAGGCTGCCTTTTCCAAGCTTAGCTGTGAAATACAGAACCTCCGATTGAAGTCTCCAGAAGGCTGGGCCTTAAGTGAGGCAGGGTGTGGACATGGATTGTGCTGCTACACAGTCTGTAAACCAATCTTGGAGTCAGCCTCTCGGGCATTTGGTTGCCTGAAATGACAACCGTTATTTTAATTCCTCTGCTCAATACCTTCCTTGCCACCTTCATTACATCTTTATACTCCTGTGTTGTTGATTTCCTTTCCATTTTTGCCAATTAAATGACCACAATTCAGGGAAAGCTAATAAAATGATAACTGCTGCAAAGGAATAAGCAAATGGCATATAGCATCACAGTAGACAGTAAACAGCGATGGAATATAGTGTAGATGACGCTTTGGGATTGGCTGGAAAGGCCCCAGTGGGGCAGGAAGGCTGTTCTGTGGGGCAGTGAAGGGATAGAGTTGCAGACATATAGAGAGGTCCTCCTACAGTTGAGGTGGCCAAGGACTGCTGCTGATGTTTATAGATCCCAGGAGATCAAGAATACACATTACAGTGGGGGTGCAAGAAAGTGAGGGGAATGTGTCAGGATAGGGGGGTGGCAGTCACAGGCTCTGTTGAGCATGAATATCGGAAATTGGAAATGGTGATTTAGGGAAAGGAGTTTGCCAGCCTCAAACACAATATTGAGTTAATGATTTTATAATAATTAAATGTATTAATAAAGCTTTGAGAAGAGTGGTTGTCCTGTACTTGGTCTCAGCAGTGCAATTAAAAATAAATATGTAAATTAGGTACTATTCCAAGAAAATAATGCATCTAAGAAATACACAGATATGAGTGAGGTGAAAACTGAAACCCACATATCTAGTTTACTGAAGTATTTTATTTTCATGTTCATGCCTTGCTACTATGTTAATGAACATATTCCTGCCCCTTTCTGTCATAAGGTGATTTAGCCCCACTTACAGCAGGGGCTCCTGATGGCATAGTAGGCAGGGTAGGCACTAAGAATAGCCTGTCCATGATACCTGAATTCAAATCCCATCTTTGCAACTTACTTGCTGTTAATCTTGGGGATACACCTACACATTCTAAGCTAATTTCTAAAATGAAGATAATAATACATAACCATTGAGCTGCTGTATTAAAGGATAAAATATTCTTCATATATTTATATGGTGATTAGAGGACAAATATATAAGCCATACAACTGAATGGATGGGATCTAGCTAGTCTCAGTAAGTGGCGGCTTTTATTGTAAGGTGATTTGTGTCGCTCTTCTCAGAACCACTTTTGGAAGGTCTCAGATTCTCTGGGTCAAACTAATTACTAGCCTATCAAGCTGTGTAGTATCTGGGTGAGAGGAGACCAGGAGCAAAGTGCACAGAGACGCGATTGCCATCAGCATTTAATTCTCTCTCAGCACCTCTGCAAAGCATCCATAAAACTTGTTTACTGAGGAACCCCAGTGGGTAAACATAGTGAAGGGAAGGGCCGAAATGGACGCTTAGCGTCAGGTCTGAAATATCAAACAAGAAAAGAAGAAAAAGACTCTTTCCAGCCTCCCAGAGTGTGCGGGTGGAGCAGGAGGGCAGGAGAGAGTTGAGATGCTTGGGCTTCATGCTGGGATCCTGCTGGCTGTGCTGGGGAAACTCTGGCTTGAAAGCTTTCTTGTGGTTTGACTTTCCGCCACAGCCTAGAAGCTAAATGAGCCTAATTAAACAAGCAAGCGAACACTGCAACATGGGGGGTGGGAGGGGTTGTAAGGGAACCCACTGACTTGGGGGCTTTAAAAGAAAAAGCTGGGGGAGGAGGTGTGAAGGGAGCTGCCCAGAGACCAGGGA